TGAAGTTTCTTACACTTTTTTTATAAATAACCTCTACAAATGCTCTTGAGAAAGCAATGCAAAAATTCAGGGCCTCTCAAGAATCCGCTCAGATCTAATCCTCTCCATAAATTAATTGCCCGGTCCTCTGGGGAAAAGAGGAGCTGGCAACACCGTACAAACTAGAAGAGTGGCTGCTTCCTTCCCAAAGTCCCTGCAAAAAAAATCAGCTTATGGAGGGGACTTTGAGCTGCCTAAATCCTGCAAAGGTGCTCTGAGAGCACGTTAACATGAGCAGCTGGAGACAATTCAGGCTGTGCCAAGGTCCAGACTCACAGATCCTGGGGAAGGGCATGACATGATCACACTGACTTCTACCCCCCCGCCGTGGATGTGGGAGGACTGCGGCGGGGTTTGTGCAGGCTCCTGTGCTCAGGACATATTTTATCATTAACCAAATAGCAGTGGAAGGGATTTCTGCCCAAAACCCTGACTGGGAAGGTGAGAAGCATGCATACAAGTTACTGAAATAACACACAGCTCCTTCATATGCAGAAGTTTCTTAGGGTCTGTAGCTGTGGCAGTGGTACTTTTAGTTTAATTTAAAGTGTTGATGTTTATTTAGGAAGCAGGTGGGATTTTGTTGGTTTTTTTTTTAAATTTAATTAAAATACATTAAACAAGTATCGTGTAAAGCCAAGTGTGTTAAGCACAGTGAGGAGTGGTTTGGCTAAATATGGATCTTTGCAGAGACAGAGTTATCTTTATCTAATACCAAACTGAATTAACAATAATGCCTGGAAAATTATGTTTCTCTACATTATTATTTTTTCTACTTCGGTATCTTGACCAAACTACGTGTTGTTTATGAACTGAGTACCTTTAATCAGATCAGACCGCAGCTGGGCTCAAAAATTACCCCAAATTAGTTAAAATTTTCAACAGAAACAAATGTACACACCTCCTCCTTTGACGAGCGGAGACCCACAGGGCTGGTGCCTCGGTAGGATTTTTCTGCCTCCACCTGCAGCAGCGCCAGGCTCTACCCTTCCCTGCCTGCTCCCAGGTAGCATCCCCAGGATAGTTTGGCTGGAAAACTTTAATCCAAGCCATTTTCCATTGTCTGTCTTTTTTTTTTTTTTCTTTTTTTAAAGTAGCATTTGCGATCTCACTGCTGCGGGGGGTTCTTTGGTGAAACGTTCTGCCACAACAGCTTTTAGCTAAAGGAAACTGTTCTGTGGGAAGTTTTGAAGTATTAAAAAAGGCCTCATTTTTATATGGCTTTCCTCATTTTTCATGCTGTGTCAGAACAACAGTGAATCAATTGAATGAGGATGCACTTTGTCTCATTGTGTACCACTGCTAAAAAATGCCAAAATATTTGTTCCATTTCGCTTCTGTTTCTATTTAGCACAGATTTATTTTGTAAAAATAAGCGTCTCCTGTCTGCGTTGCAATGAAGCAGTTTGACACTGGTATAAGAGAAAATAAATGCGCAGTGTACTAATCAGAAGAGCAGCTGTTTTCAATAACTAAGAAAAATTATTCCAAGCTGACATAAGGCCATAAAAAGCAGCTGCTTTTTTTAATTAGGATGTTGAGGGGTAAATCTACAGAAGGATTTGGGTGCCTTGCTAGCAAAAACATACTGGAGCCCTGAGTTAGGCAACTAAATCCTCTGTATAAAAGCAGGGGGGAGCGAGGGATGTTGGATGGATGGATCCTGAGCAGTCACAACTGCTTGCTGCAAGCACTTTTCCTAACCTCAGAAAACAGAGTATGCTGGCGGGCAGGAAAATCATTCTCAATACTTTGATAAAGCCCCTATCTGATACAGCTTTGCTTTATGCCATCGCTTTCATCTCAATGTAAACAAAGTACCTGGAGTGGTGTCGGGGCAGCGCTGAACTCACTCTTGCCTAGCACAAATTGTGCTGCAATCAGTTCTAATGAGATTACAAAGCTGTTCTGATTTCCAGAGAAACCCACCTCTCTTTTGGTATTTTTCATGCCTTTTCATCCCTGTCTCAGCTGTTACACAGATGCCACAGCATTAGCACTTATTTTCATCCTTTTGTTACAAGGCTGTGGTTTATTGCCCGGAGGAACATCAGAGACACCCGAGTAGCTTGGCTCTCCCCACGCTGCTCGCTTCGTGGCTTTCCAGATGCCCTGTGCTCCTGAGAGCCACCACTTGCTTTCAGGCATCTCCTCTTGCTCACCAGCTGAGCTGAGTTTGCTCCAAAACGCAGGTCACCTGCAAAGCCTGAGGGCTGCTTGTTGGGTATTAAAGGGGGTAATAGCCCACCAGGTTCTGTTTCTCTTTGGGAGCAGAGACTCCTGGATCCATCTATCCATCCATCCATCCATCCTCCCTCCCTCAACATGATATATCCCAGGCAGCACCTAGGTAAGCTGAGCATTTACTGGTTTAGACTGTTTTGGATGAAAATGGATGTGTTTCAGTGAAGGCATGCTGACTTCAAGATAAGAATTCATAACAGGTTTGAAAATATAATATAATAATCCTAATTCAGGTATTTCAGCTGAAATATGTCTTGTTTTTTCAGAGATCTATAACTTTTTTTACAACTACTTGGCTGTAGACAGGCTTTTTCCCTTGAAAAGAGGAAAAAAAAAATGCTTTTCAATTTGAATTAAAATGGATTATAGTGTGATCACTGCTAGTTATCTGGTATGCTTGTAAAATGCTGGAGCCCCTTAATAGGGGATATTTATCAAGCGGTGTGTAGGCTGGTATTGTTTTCTAGATATAGCCACCATTATTTATTCACACTAAGAGCTCTGTCACAGTTTTATGTGCCCTGTCTGCAAAGCTGTACCTCTGAGGCTGGAGTTTCAGAAATATTACTTGAAATTGTTTCAGAATGGCAGAGTACTGCACCATGCAATGATTTAATTTCAAACTGAAAGGAGTTTACTCTTACAAGGTCTCATTTAACAACAGCTGTGGTCTTCTATAGAGGTGCCTGAACTTGGATGTGTATGTTAAATGTTGTAAAGTCAAATTTTGGGGTAATTTTTAATCGCTTTGTGCATTTTAATGATTACTTTGAATCACTTTATTTGGTAAATTAATTCTTTTTCAAGTAGGGATTTTTCTGTCTTGGTAAAGAAAGCTTTCTGGGTGAAGTTCCCCTTGCTGCAGCCAGAGCCTTCATACTTTGTTCCTTTTATAGGTCATCACATTTGGGGCAAAACCATAAAACTCTTACTTCAGTAATATAAAATTGAGGATGGAGAGAAA